CCCCCCCCCGGCCCAGACCGTGCTCCGAACTGTTTTAATATTCCCAGAACCAGGCACAGGCAGGGGCTGCAGGCGAAGGAAGGCGCAGGCACTGAAACTGGAAAACCACAGCCAGGAGCTTGCTCGGGGCAGAGACGAGGTGTGCGAGTGAGTACCTGCTTTAAATAAAGCACAAGAAAACGGTAAGTTTGCTTTCTTGTACTCACCCTATGTTTAAGAACGCGAAACTGTGACACTGAAATGTGATGCTACAGCTTTACCTGATACACAGAAATAACCTTCACCTGACAACGTTGGGGTGGAAGCGTCTGCCTGTCTGCACCAAAGACCACAGCTTAAAATCGGCGTTTGAAACAAGTGAGCATATTCAGACAAAAGTAACGACAAGCCTTTGATGATTCACCTCATCCAACTTTAATTGATGTAAGACCACGGCGTTCTGTACAGCGGTCCGGAGGTAGGAGCAGCACTGTAAGTAAACCTTAACACCCAATTCGAAAGTTAAAAAAGGTTTTTAGAGGTGTAAACATTCCAGAGTGCTTCAAGACAACGCTAACCCTTCATCATCCTTAGGCAGAAGGACGCAGTTTGATTTTTAAAATGAGAACTTGTCCCTGTTGAACCAAACTACGATAGTACTAGCTGAAAGATATGAAAAGTAAGGACTGAGATAAAGGCAAGGTGATTCGGGAGCTCCATTTCTGTGTGATGGTTTGAAGAAGGATCTTAACAGTACTTTAGGAACGTTAACAGAGAAGTGTACACATGATTGCGTTTTAAAGGAGGGGGAAGCTGAGGGTACGCTGACCTCCAAACCACCACAAACAGCGGCCAGGCTCATGGGCTGGAAGCTCCTGCACTCTGCAACAACCGCACGTGAGCCGAGACACGGCCACACGCAGCTCCAGAGGTAACTCCTTCAACGTGCCAGCACATTTGCATACTATCACAGAAAAGGCATTTTCCCTTCTCACAAGTTTTAAATGAAAAATAGAGAATAATCCAGTTAAATACCTGTTATATTCCTACTTGTGAATGACCCTTTGATAACGGGAATAAGGATTCCAAACACATATAATAGAGTACAGAGCAATTAAAAGTTCAATTAAAATATATTCAGATAATTACTATAGCCAGAATACACATCTGTATCCCAATTTACACTCAGACTTCTTTCCTCATTTCACATCATCTTGGCTTCTATTGGACAAGCAGGTAGATCACATTTTCATCACAATACAGAAAAATACTAATCATTGGGTGTTTATTGATAACTGTTAGTGATAACACTGCAAGTCTGTTGAAGACAATTTGCAATATGCTACACCTTTAGCAAAAGCTGGAGGAGGGAACTACACATGATCAAATTTGATAGTTAAATTAGGTAGAGAAAGACAATTAAAAGTGTTCCTAAAATCATGGCCTCAACATCAACATTCAAAGTGATTCCATCTTTAAAGGGAAAAGTGAATGGTTTTTGTTTAAGCAACCATTGGATTTTTTTCCACTGAATTTTACAGTTGTCTTATCAAGAAAAACAAAGCCTTTGTTATTCGGAGTGCATCACTAGGTATCAATTTTATTTCCCACAGTTTGAGACATGTAAAGCAAGAATAGTCAACCCGCTGGAAACCTGCATACATTCAGTAGCAGTAAAGTCATCGGGCAATACATGATCACATAATTTACCAGCGTATTTTTTTTGAGGACACCAGCCCTTCCTTTATCAGATGTTTGGCCAAAATAATTAATACAAAACTTAGTATTATACCCAGAACCTCTGCAAAACACTGGCAGTCTTTGCGAGTTCCATGTTAAGTGTACTTGATTGGATAAGGATGGAGGCGGCCACCCCCCCGCAGCGCTCCTGCACGGTTTGCATTGTCGTTTACACGCAGTTCAACGTGGAAAGAGCAAGGGAAGCCGTGCACAGCTCCAGTCCGCAGAATCGAGACCAGGGACTGAAGATACAACAGTATCTGACAGTAGTATGGCATTATAACAGCTACAGCTTTTGAAGATATACACACGGATTTTAAAAAGTACGAATTACACATTTTATACAGATAACCACTTCATTATATACACGCAGTGCCCGTATAACTTGGGAAAGTTTGTACCACTGTTCAGACGCTGTCTGTGGATGATAGTTTGGTCTTCAACTTTTTTCTTTCTAGAATTTCTTCATCAAATATTTCTCTCTCCCTGAAAAGGAATACATTGAAGTTCTGTAGTAAAAATAATCTTAACATATTAACCAGTTTGCAACGTGCTACAGTAACTCAGCAAGAATGTTTCCCATGTTTAATCATTTTGTGACTTGGACAAGGAGAAAGCTTGCCTGACAGAAGGGAGGATTCTGAACTCTCCTGCCCCTATACTCGACACTTTTCCATATAAACAGTAAACTAGTTAAGAACAATTCAGAGAACACTAAAAATAGATACCTTTTGCTCACAGATGGTCCTTTTATGTACTTTTCTTCTGCCTTCTTGTAATCTATGTCATCCACAGCAGAAATCGCATAAATGATGGCCTATAAAAGTATTTAGTTGATTTTACTCATGAAACAAAAGCTAAATTACAACCAGTTATTTGAAACTGTCCCAGTAGATCAGCACATTTTTAGAATAAGGTTCCTCAATCACTTGGGAAACTTGGATGAAACTGCCTGTTGTGTACCTGAAGTTCTTAAATAATAAAAACTTGTCCTTTATCATTCCCAGGACAGTATTTTTATAACCAGATTAAGACATTCTTCATAGTAATTTTGTTTCTACAGAAGTTACTAACATTCTCCTGGGAAAGTTGAGGAAGAACAATAAGTGTCTAAAAATATAACTGTAAAAACAAACAACTCAACCCACACATACCGAGAACCCAAACAATCCCAGAGATAACTTGCCAAATAAAAAAAAAAACAACCCAGAGTTTTGAAGAGTTTCAGAAGTAATCAAAACACACCAGAAAACAATCATTCTGCCTTTAAAAACATCATACTACCTAAAGCTTCTCCATTCTGTGCTAACGGCTTAAAAATCAGCATTTAGAATTGCATTGATTCACATCCCACCCATAACCCTGCCAGCCTGCTAATACCAACACCTGCAGGCAGCACCGCAGGAAGCACGTAGTGATTTGTACTGGGGCTTTATTGCTTTTCTCCAACATGTAACGTAAACATATTTTGTCTCGGATTATCAGCCTGTGAACATGGCTTCAGAGCATCCTGCACCGGTTTTAACATTCCTTGCTCAAGACACACTTAGAAACCACACACGGTTTCACGCCCCTTGAGCTGAAGGGACCACGACCCAAGCCAGTAGGTAGGCAGGCGTGAATATATCTGCCCGGCTCAAACCCAGCTCCCGCAGAACACTCCGCAAGTCATTAAACTCAAATCACATAACGCTAGTGTTTTCACCTTTACATTTACTTTTCTCAGCATTTCATGTTTACTTACTTCAGGCAAAAGGACATCCGAAATAAATTTTATTCCATCCCCATTTATCTGATGCAGATTTTTACTTTTTATTTCACTATATACTTCCTTCAAGTAGTTCACCACAAGGTCTAATTGTTCTTCATCCTCTAAATAGGTTTCAACGCAGGTCACGTACTGACTTGAATTCAGGAATTTCTTCAGCCACCGGGACTGTTTTCTGCTTTTCAAAATAGCCAAAAGATGCTCTTCAGCCCCTTTAGTCTTCACTATAAACTCTACTATCTTTTTATTTGCTTTATCTCTAGCAGCTCTTGTTCTGTCAGGAAGAAGTTTTTTGGAGGGCTTCTGAGGCGAAGTTTCTGATGAAGACTCTTCAAGGTCTTCCTCTGCCATGTTTGGAAAGGTCATTTGGACTGAACCTTGATAACCTTCCTTCCTAACTGGGTAGCCTGAAAGAAAAGCCACAATCATTCATACTTAAATATAAAAAACAAGGGGCTTTCTCACACACATACACAAATATAAAATAAAGGACTTTCTTGATAAGAGAGAAGTTTTTCTTCCTCTCCTACCAAACAGGGCAGAAAACCAACAACAACAATCTTAACTTTGCCTTAAAAAAAAATATATATTAGGGAGTTGAAACTGTTGACAGGAGCTCTGAAATTAACTTAACAACATGAAGCAACCAGCTACCTGATTGTCTTTAACTATCAATATTTATTTAGTTTTTGTGGTGGGACTGAAAAACTTTAGAGTGCAATAATTGTGTGTAGTAATTTTAACAGCACCCCCTCACTGGGTCTGATGCCTAACTCAACACGCATGTGTAAACATCAGAGTTAAACTTACCTATTAAGAGAAGAATACAAAAGATAATGGATTTACTTACTGATATCAGCAGCAAAATATTCCAAGAAGGATCCCGTAAAAGAATGACAACCTAAAAGGCCAAAACAGGGTTATTTACCAGTTCAATTAAGCCTATGAAACAAAGCTGACAGTTTTGGTGTTATCTTTTTTTCTGATGTATATCTGGATGGATGACATCATCCAGCTCATCTGCTTACCTACTCTAATGCGATAGTCAGAAATCAACCGAACACACCACTCAATTTCTTGGCGATAATCTTCTTTGGCTCGTTCCTACAAAACGAGAGCCATTTGCAGTCTTAAAAAGAGTCACCTATTGAAGCTGTTAGGTCTAGGACACTAACCAGGTAACAGAAACAGCCAATGACAACAAATCCAAGTTTCCTTGCAGTTTTCCGCATTCTCCCAAAATTCAACTTCTGTCATCACTTTGTCATGCAGCACGAGACTGGCTTTGTCACACGTAGAAAACCCATGAGGGAAAACACAGCAAGGGTCCTAAGCAACTGCCTGCCTTCCACATACACAGGTATTCTTAGCAGCAGCCTCACCGACATGGAAAAAGGGGTCGGGAGATCCCCTTCCCATATTATTCTCCATCTTGTGGAGCATGAATTATGCCTAATTGCTTTGTTGCACAGAGCAAGAGAGAACAGGGAACCATGAACAGCCCCAGCCCGGCCAGCTACACCCCACTCCTCCCGCAGGGTCAGATATACATCGTGTATACAACTTTGGTTTTCCCAACACATGTATACACTTGCAGTTACATGTAACTGGTAGTACTTACAATGAGGTCCTGCTTTTCTTCGCAATCAAAGTGCTTCAGATTCCTAAGAGGTACTGAGAAACTTGATGAAACAAAGAAACACAGTTAGGGAAGAGAGGCAGTTGAGTTGCAAATCTTTATTTTTGCACCTATTGGTTGCACCTATTTATTTATTGCAATTGTACACATCCCTGAAAGTTAGATTTCATAAGCAATTCAGGAACGCTGGTTTTACTAGTTTTGGTTTCCATAATAAGCTAAAATTACGGAATCTTTTAACAAATGAGAAGTACCTGGTTTTAAAACAAAACGCAGGCTTGTGTTTCCAGAAAGTTTGGGCACCACCTGTAAAAAACACTAGCTGGGTCCCCAGACCTTTTTTTCTTTTTATTCCTCACATAAGCATCAGCTGTTTGCATGAACGCCAGCCTGTCTCAGCTGGCAGCATGACAAAGCACACAGCCCACACCTGCAAATCCTCACCTTACTTGGTCCCTCCCTCCGAGACCAACCTTAGTTTCAACTGCCCTGTACCTGTACCAGGAAGGGAGCACAGGACACTGCCTAAAAGGAACTGAAAGTTCAGAACATGATCAGAATCCACATTTACCCTTTTTTCTTGTCATTCGTATCCCCTTCTATTAACAGCACACATGCCTTTTTGTGTTTCCGCTTCACATTTTTTACCTGTTGAACAGATAAAGTCTCATTAGCATCCTAAAATCCCAATACCCTTAACCAAGCAGGAACATTTTCCATCGATATTGTGCAGTACACTCCATACTTAAAGGAAGTTACACAAATATGAAAAATTAAGTTTAAAGTGGCAGTAATAGCAAGTTATCCCAACAGAGCATTTTTGTTAGTGTACAAATCCTCTTTTTTTGCTAGTTGGGTACAACCACCCTACTTCATGAGATGAGATATAAAGACCCAGTAGTAATCCTCTGCTCTGACATAAACATATGAGAAAAGCACATAAAAAAATGATTGATTCACATATGTAAATTTACTTCTATTATCTTTGGAATGCTTCTACCAGAAGATCTTTAACATTTCTGGCTCCAGACAAGTCAAGAAGGGTAAAGGACACTCAAGAACTCTGTAAGCTGCTCCTTATCAGACCCCTTGCAGTACCACTGAGAAGGCAGCGAGCTCTTCTTACCACTGCTGGCCAATACGGGTACCTCCGCAGTTTGCACCAGACCAAAATCCCTTCTTCAATTGGTTGTGGTTCTGTGATGAAAAACAAAGTAATTTAAAAAAGAAAACCCCACACCACAAGACAATACAGTTAGCTCGCCCTCTCTTATTAACCTCCTTTCAGGAGTTTCACTTCAACGCTTTTACAGGTTTTGACTAAGGTGACAGGGCACCCCCAAGCACCCCCTAAAATGCAGCACAGGTAGTTCTGAACACAAGGGCTTGGAAGTTTCAATCCTAGGCCCTTGCCCAGTTTCACAATGATTTGCATTTCATTCTGCTTCAAAAAGCCTTTCTGGGGCATCCAAGAAATGCATTTTTTTTCCAACCTCGAACAAAGCTGGATTCACTTTCTAGAAAGGTTAGGTTTCATTACCATAGCTCGTGAGCAAACTAGAAGGACACATACCCTAAAAAAGCACACCAGCCTTGGGTGAAGTAGTCTTACATAGGCACACTGATGTCTCACCTTGATGTGATAAAATACTAGGAAGTTCTTCCTCCTCCTCCTCTTCATCTACCAGAGCTGAGAGGCGAGAGAGACTCTCTGAGGAAACGATCTTTGAAGATAGGTCAGACAATTCCAGTCCTGCCAACAGCAGCAAGAACAAGTGTGGAACAGCAGTTAAACAACTTATCAGCTTCAGACCAGGTGAAACACACGACTGTGCAAGTGAGCCCACAGCAGCGCAAGTCACCGTAACACAAGGGTCTGTCGCACCACACACACTCTCAATTCTCTGCCTAGGTAAAGGCCTAATCATCTGAATAAAAGATAAAAAAATGGAAAGGAACTGGGAACAGGCTGATTTCAGGACTCTGTACCAGCCTGTTCCTCTCTGTAACATCATTTCATCTCAACACTAATAGATAGCAGTGAAGAAAAAAACGCAAGTGTGAAATTAGCCAGCTCTCCAGTAAAGGGTAAGAATTACTGCTAAGTACAGCTTTTCAACCCAAACCCCTGAACAGCCCCAGAGAACCTAAATGCCACACTAGCCTTCAGCCAGTATTAAAGCGATTGCGTTTTTTACTTCTCCAAAACTTAAACCAAAACAAATTAAAATCAACACTTCAAGAACCATAGTCACAAAAGCACTGCAGCATTCCAAGGTGAGTAACAGACAATCAAACGGGATGAAGTTTTCCCTTCCCCAAGCAATATGCCCACCTTCATCTTCCTCAAAGTCAGGCAGCTGAAACCGCTTTGCTTTATTCGTAACCACATGCGAAGTGTTCTTATTTTCTTCCTCTTCACACTGAGAGGGGAAACTATCAGAAAGCGTCCCATGGTCAGAAGGTCCAGATGAAGGCTCAGGGCAATTCCTGCATTTCCTTTTTCTGTACGAGGACACTGTTGCACCAATCGCTTGTTCTCCATTCCTCTGCTTTAAACTCCCTGGCTTTTTTCTTCCACCTAATTGCTTTGCTAGACTTTCGCTCTCATTACTGATGCTTTTTTCCAAGTCATCCGAGGCACTTTTGCAAGAGGAATCCAGTAGCGTCCTTCTCAGTTGATTTCTGGTGTTTGCCCTTCTGACAGGTCCTGCTGCATCAGACTTGTGGGGGGCAGACAGAGGAGACCCTTCCTCAGCAAGGGGCTGTGCGCGATCCTTGGGGAAGTCATTCCCACACGATGCAGGTGACCCTGCACCCTTTGGTGTTTTTCTTCCTTGCTTACCTTTTTTCTCCTTTGGCTTAAGGGAGGCTTTAATTCCTGTTTTGGACTTTGTGAACAATCTGGGCTTGATTTTTTTCTGTCTTGGTAGTGATTTTGTTTCCAGTATTTTGCAATTTTGACTGTCAGAGTTTGATGTATTATGCAAGCCCCCAGTATCACATTTGGAAGGGTTTGTTCCACTTTCATGCACTTTCGCACTCTCCTCCAGAATCAAAGAGCCTTCCTGGTTTTGTTTTTTCGTATCAGTCTTCAGGCTGGGGTTATTTTTTTGTTCTCTTTTCCTCTTGGAAGTCTCAGGCTCCAACTTTTCTTTAGAGTGAAAGTGCGATTGACCACTACGTAAGGGGGTATATGAGAGAGACCCCGCATCGTTCTCCTGGGATAACTGAGTATTTGGTGGTCCTTGTCTGGCTGAGCCATTTTGATTCAAAATATCCAGCGCAATTTTAAGAGAACAGCGATATTTCAGTTCTTCCACAGCATCACTCGAATTCTTCCTTTGATCTGATGAAGAAGAATGTTCAATAAATGCAACAACCTTTATTTATATAAATAAGAAATTTTATCTATAGTATATCTTTTCTTTAAGATGCAATTTAACACTTAAATCATCTGTGATTCTTAAGGCAAAGTATAGACACACAAAGTGCAAGCCTCCAATGCCTTATTTTGGTGGAAGTGCACACAAGCTTCTTCACCATTCCTTCCAACACACTACACAAGGGAAGAGCAAAAGTAGCTGTGATCATGTTTAGTCTATTTTTACATTCAGAGTATATACAAGGCAACAAATATTTTGAGTTCACCTCACCTAGGTTAGAGGCGATGTTTTCTATACATTCTTCCGTCAGTGGCACAGCATCTTCACCGTTCACATTAATCCTGAAAAGACAACAAAGCTGACTGAAACTGCATTAAACACCACTAACAACATGACACTGCTTTCACCTGGCAATAAGCTTGTTGTATTTTTCCCCCCAAAACCCTTACTTGTTAGCAGAAGTTAAGGAAAAAAACCCACACACATGAAGAATGCCTGAGCTAACAGTCAGCATGTTGTTTATGGACGTTCCACAGGACAACTATATGCCAACTCTAAAAAGGCAATGGGTTTTGCATTAGCCATCTAATCCTTCTGTAAATCAATGATCTCATTTCACAGATATCTTCAGATAAAGGGATTACTTTTTTTTAACGTCTAAGAGTGCAAACATACAACAATGATACTTAACTGTTCTTTCAAGCTAAGTATTTCAACTTTAAAAGAATTCTCCTCTGTGTTAGTAATAGATGTCTTCCCAGTAACTTCAGTTTTGCCCAAAACCTAGATTAAACAGAACAACATGCATTTAAAATCCTTGACCAAGTCTGTTAGGCTATAGAACAGATCTGACATCAAGACATTTTTAATACGAACAGCACAGAACGGATTGATATTCCACGGCATCTGGTTGCAATATTGGGATCTCTACAGATTAGCTCTTTTTAAAAATAGGTATGTGTTGACTTGGAGCTCTTACTACTCCATTTCATCCATTTCTAAGTCATACTCATAAACCTTTCCTCGTCCGCTTTACCTTTGCTGGCCATAAACGCTTCTTCCACATGCAAAGAATGTACTCTTGATCCGTCATGACTGTGTTTCATGGAAGACTCCAGTGTGCTCTGAAGAAAAAGGGAATAAAAGAGTTACCCAACACTTGGTCCATTTTTGTCTTCCTTTTTTAAAGGAAGTGACATATCATTCTACCTTTGAGACCACTGGACTAATATTACTTTGTACACATTCTCCAAAATTAAGTTCTAACAGTGTATCTTTCTATAGCTGTGCAACATAAGAAGGTCTTACTGAACATGTAAGCGTAGAAAATACTGTCATAAATAAATAAAAAATGCTGCTGTAGGCCTGCACATTCTGCAGCTCCCTACTACCAAGTGCTGGTAACAGAGGCCACTTGTCACATCCTACAAATTACGCCCCGCTGTGCCGATTTTTATATGCAGTTTACAATTACGATCCGAGTGAACTGGCTACAGAGTTCTCGCATGTTTCCTAATGACCTGAAAGGCTTTAAGAAAGACTCATTAAGAACAAGAAAATCTTCCTATACTTACAAAGTCAAAAGCTTAAGCTTCCTCGGCGCGCTGGAACGTGGTCCTGCCACGGACAGACAGTCAGAAGCAGACGTTACTGCTACACCGGAGCGCCAAACCCC